TGGCGGGGTGGGGGTCCCGGGGGTGGGGGCCGTGGGCTCTTACCTGCACCAGGGATTTCTCGATGGTCATGAACATCTCCACGTTGCGGTCCATGCGCGAGGGATTCTGGAAATCGAAACGCCGCCTTATTGGAAGAAAAGAGCGACTCTCATGAAAGCCACAGCTCAGGTCTCCTCGTCAGCACCCAAAATTTGGGGAGGGGGCGAGCGGGGCACGTGCCTGGACCCCATCAGGGTCCGCAGTGACGGAGAGGGGACACGTCCCAGCGCCCGTTTGCTCTGCGGGTGACAGCCCCACAACCGCCCCACCCTGGGAACCCCCAGCCAAAGCCACCCCTGGAGGGGACCCCCACCCTGCCCCCCACCCAGGACCCCTCAGGACCCCCACCCCGGTGGGTGCTCACCATCCTTGGTCGCTCTTGAATTTATAGGCGGCTGCCAGGATGTGGCACAGGGCTCCCCCCGCCTTGAAATCCAGGAAGCATTTGATCTGCAACGGGAGAGGGGTCAGGGGCACAGGGACAGCGCCCTGCTGGGGGACAGCTCCTCCTCGGGGTGACACCCCTTGTCTGGGTGACATTCCCCTGGTGGGGTGACATTGCCTTGTCTGGGTGACATCCCCAAGTCTTGGTGACCTCCCTTTGTGAGGGTGACATCCCCATGTTGGGGTGACATCCCCAAGTCTGGTGACATCCCTTTGTGGGTGACATCCCCTTGTCTGGGTGCCATGCCCACATTTGGGTGACATCCCCATGTCTGAGTGACATCCCCAAGTCTGGGTGACCTCCCTTTGTGAGGGTGACATCCCCTCTCCCAGGTGCCACCTCCTTGGGCTCTGGGATGGGGTCCCTGCAGTGTTGGAGCACTGTCCCACTCGGGGACACGTCCCTGTGTGAGGTCACTGTCCCCAGGTCCTCTGGGGGCTGTCCTGGGGTCCCTGAGGCAGTGTCCCCTGGTCCTTTGGGGCTGTCCTGGGGTCCCTGGGGCAGTGTCCCCTGGCTGAGGCCCTGTCCCAGATTTGGGGTGTCCCCCTTTTAGGACACTGCTCCTGGCAGGGCGCTGTCCCTGCCATGCTCTGTCCCTATGTGGGGACACTGTCCCCTGGCCCTTGGGGACAACGGTGTCCCAGGGTCCCCGGCACTGTCCCCAGCACTCCAGGCCATGTCCCTGACCAGGGCACTGTCACTGGCCGCTGTCCATGGTCAGCTGCTGTCCCCGAGCCACCAAATGCTGAATGGTGTCACCGGGCCATGTCCCTGAGGCTTTGGGTGCTGTCCCTGCTCAGGGTCGTGTCCCCAGTTCACTGTCCCCAGGTATTGGGGTGCTGTCCCTGCTCAGAGCTCTGTCCCCAGGTCTTTGGGGACACTGGGGACACGGCCCCAGGGCTGTCCCCCTGTCTCTGGGGCACTGTCCCTGCTCAGGACCCTGTCCCTGGTCATCATTGTCCTTGTCCCCTTTTCACTGGGGCTCTGCCCCAAGGTTTGGGGTGCTGGTTCTGCTTTTTTGGGATGCTGTCCCCATTCAGGCCTTGTCCCCACCTCACTGGGACCCTGTCCCTGGGTGCTGTCCCCAAGTATGGGGTTCTGTTCCTGAGTACTCAGATGCTGTCCCTGGGTATTGGGGTGCTGTCCCCACTTGCCTTGTCTCCTGTTCTCTGGGGCCTTTTTTGGGGCCCAGTTCCCACTCAGCTTTGTCCCCAGGTTTTTGGGGTGCTGCCCGTGGGTCACTGCGGCCTCATCCCAGGGTCACTGGGGTCTGTCCCCAGGCCTTTAGGGCACTATCCCTGCTCATCAGGGTCAAAAAAATCCCTGGGGTCCCCAAATCCCCGGGGTCCCCAAATCCCTGGGGTCCCCAAATCCCTGGGGTCCCCAAATCTCTGGAGTCCCCAAATCCCTGGGGTCCCCAAATCACTGGGGTCCCCAAATCCCCGGGGTCCCCAAATCCCTGGGGTCCCCAAATCCCTGGGGTCCCCAAATCACTGGGGTTCTGTTCCTGGAATTTTGGGGTGCTGTCCCCAGGTCTTTGGGCTCTGTCCCTGGAATTTTGGGGTGCTGTCCCCAGGTCTTTGGGCTCTGTCCCTGGGATTTTGGGGTGCTGTCCCCAGGTCTTTGGGCTCTGTCCCTGGGATTTTGGGGTGCTGTCCCCAGGTCTTTGGACTCTGTCCCTGCTCAGAGCCCTGTCCCTGCCCACCAGGGCCATGTCCCCGGCTCTGAGGGACGCTGTCCCCACATTTCTGAGGCTCTCTCCCCAACCTGGCCTTTGTCCCCCGCTCCTCGGGGCTCTTCCCCAGCTCACCCCGGGGACCACGCGGTTCCATCCCCGCAGCTCCGGGGCACCGTCCGTGCCCTGAGCCCGGTCCCCGGTCCCCGCGCGTCCCCCGCACGTCCCGGCCGCGGTGTCCCCGCGTCCCCCGCGGCTCTCACCGGCAGCTTGGTGAGGGGCGCGTTGCTGACGTGCTTCCCGAACACCTCCTCCTGGAACTGCAGCAGCTGCACCACCAGGCTCGACAGCGACTTGTTGGTGGGGGGCTCGGCCTGGATGTACTGCGGGCCCGGGGCTCAGCGCGGCCGCCGGGGCCGCTGAGGGGAGCGGGGCGGGGTGGGGGGGGCGCGATGGCGGCGGCGGCGCCGTGACAGGCCGGGCCCGGCGGGGCTGAGGGCGGCGGCGGCCCCGCGGTCCGGCGGACCTACCTTCTTGTAGTTCTTGCCGAGCCACAGCCGCACGTTGTCGAACTGGCTGACGGTGTCCGAGGCCTCGTAGTACTTGACGTTGGGGCCGCCGTCCTTCTTCCGCACCGCCATCTTGAGCGGGCCGGGCCGCGCCGCCGCCTCCGCCCGCCACTGCCGCCCCCTGCCGGCGCCGCGCCGCCACTGCCGCGCCCGCCGCCGCTCGCTGTCCCCGTTCCCGCTCGCTGTCCCCGTTCCCGTTCGCTGTCCCCGTTCCCGCTCGCTGTCCCCGTTCCCAGTTGCTGTCCCCGTTCCCGTTCGCTGTCCCCGTTCCCGGTCGCTGTTACATCCCCGCCGCCCCCCTTGCTGCCCTCCCGTCCCCGCACTGCCGCTCCCGCCGCCCCCGCTGCCGCCCCCTGGCGGTGCCGCTCCGGCACTGCCGCCTCCCGCCCGGTGTTGCCGGTCCCGCTCGCTGGTCCCGTTCCCGCCCGGTGTTGCCGGTCCCGGTCGCTGATCCCGCTCCCGCACCGCCACCCCCGATCGTTGTTCCCAACCCCGATCGTTATTCCCGGCCCCGCCGCCCCCGTTCTACCGCCCGCCACCGGCTCCCGCTGCGCCCGCCACCGCCTCCTGCTGGTCCCGTTCCCGCCGTTCCCGCTGTCCCCCGGGCGCCGTTCCCGGCCCCGAGCCCCCGCTCCACCGCCCGTTGCTGGTCCCGCTGTCCCCCGGGCGCTGTTCCCGGTCCCGGGCGCTGTTCCCGGCCCCGAGCCCCCGCTCCACCGCCCGTTGTTGGTCCCGCTGTCCCCCGGGTACCGTTCCCGTGGGTTCCAGTGACGGGAGGTTGGGTTCGGACGGGACACTGGGAGGGAATTCCGCCCTGGGAAGGGTTGGAATGGATTTCCCGGGACAGCCCGGCGAGTGCTCCAGGCCCGGTTGGACCGGGTTTGGAGCAGCCCCGGGATGGGGGAGGGCGTCCCTGGGCAGGGCAGGGGGTGGGAAGGGATGAGCACCGGAAAGAGCCCCGGAACGGCACCGAGCACCGGGCTCCGAGTACCGGGCACTGAGCACCAAGCCAAGCACCGGGCACCGAGTACCGGGCATTGAGCACCGGGCACTGAGCACCGGGCATTGAGCACCGAGCACCGGGCTCCGAGTACCGGGCATTGAGCACCAAGCCGGGCAGCGAGCACCAAGTACCGGGCACCGGGCACTGAGCACCGGGCATTGAGCACCGAGCACCGGGCGCCGAGCACCGGGCATTGAGCGCTAAGCTGGGCATTGAGCACCGAGCCCCGGGCATTGAGCACCGGACACTGAGCACCAAACCGGGCATTGAGCACCGGGCATTGAGCACCGAGCCCCGGGCATTGAGCACCGGGCACTGAGTACCGAGCACCGGGCAGCGAGCACCGGGCATTGAGCGCTGAGCCGGGCATTGAGCACCGAGCCCCGGGCGGGGCGGGGCCGGCAGCGGCGGCGGGCCCGGTCTATGCGGAGCGCGGCGGTCCGCACGGAGGCGCGAGAGTCACGGTGGCCGAGTGGTTAAGGCGTTGGACTCGAAATCCAATGGGGTTTCCCCGCACAGGTTCGAATCCTGTCCGTGACGCCACGTTCGCTTTTGCTGCGCCCCGGTACCGGCCAGCGCACGCCGCGCCTCCGGTACCGGCTCTTTTAACGGCGGCAGCATCACCGAGCCCTCCGCCCGTCCATAGTGGTTCCTTTAACGGCGGGAACAGCGGGGAAAACGCTCCCTCAGCCTCTGGTACCGGCTCCTGTAACGGCGGGAACAGCGGGGAAAACGCATCCCCAGCCTCCGGTACCGGCGCCTTTAACGGCGGGAACAGCGGGGAAAACGCTCCCTCAGCCTCCGGTACCGGCTCCGTTAACGGCGGGAGGATCAGAGAGTGCCCAAGCCCCGGTACCGGGTCTTTTAGAGTTGGGAACAATGGGAACCCCTCTAATCCCAGCTCCTTTTGGGGTGGGGGCAACAGGGACCCCCCAGTCCCAGTCCCAGCTCTTTTTGGGGTGGGAACAATGGGAACCCCCCTGGACTCTCTGATCTTTTTAAGGGCAGCAGAAGTGAGAACCCCACTCTGGTCCCATCTCTTTGAAGTGGGACAGCTCCATCCTTTTTGGGGGGCACATCTGGGGGGGCTTCAGGGCAGGGGGAGCCCCCGGGACCCCCAACCACCCCCTCCCCCTCCCATTTATTGATCCCCAGATGCCCCCAGGATGGGGAGGACAGCCCCAAACCCACCCATTTTTACCCCAAGATTGAGCCCCCCCGACACGGGGAGGGTTTTGGGGTGCAGGAGGAGGCCCCCAAAGCGGGGATAAAGCAACCAGAATTCTGTTTATTGATCACTTCAATCCCTGCCTCCCGCCGGATCTGCCGGGACCGACACCGCAGGAGAAACAACGGTAAAAAATAACCAAAATAAATGCAAATAAATTAAAATCCCAACGAGTCCCACGGACCCAGGCCAGCGGCGCCTGCCCACGGTACTTGAAAAATCAAATAAAAAGGGGGAATAAAAATGAGAAAAGGTCCAAAAAAAAAAAAAATTAAAGTACAAAAGAAAAATAAAATACAGAACCACGATCACGAGTGTCTGGAAAGTAACAGCAAGGGTGGAGAAAGCAGAGCCAAACACGGACTGGGGGGGTGGGAGATGCCCGGGGGGGATCACGGGGCATGCACAAAGCGAGGGGGACAGGAGGGTCCCCAAGGCCAAGGACCCCTCACCCCGGGCTTGGTGACACCATCGGGGGACACGGAGCCGGTGGGAGTTCCGGGGGGGGCGAGGAGACGGAGCTTGGCGGGATTTGGGGGGACCCCCGAGGGGCCTGGCAGTGCCCCCGCTCCCCCTCTCCTCAAGCCGAGCTTGTAACGGGTCCAGTCAAGCGGGAAACTCTAAAATTCCATGTCCAGAAATTCAATTTTCCTGCCGTCCCGAGATGGCGAAACCGTTGATTTTTTTTTTCCCCCAAGTCTCCACACCGTGAGCGAAAATCACAAAAAACTCCAAGTCTGGGAAACCACCCTCTGCCATCCCCAGGTGGATTTTTGTTTTGTTCTTCAGATTTCCTCAACGCTTCGAGCGAAAATCACAAACCCTAAAACCACCGAGTCCGGGAGTCTGGGAAACCCATCCTAAGCCATCCCAAGGTGGATTTTTAAATTGTTTTTTTTGCTTTTTTCAGATCTCCTCCACGCCGTGAGCGAAAATCACAAACCCTAAAAACTCCAAGTCTGGAAAACCACCCTCTGCCATCCCAAGGTGGATTTTTTTGCTGTTCTTCAGATCTCCACGCCACGAGCAAAAATCACAAACCCTAAAAACTCCAAGTCTGGAAAACCACTCCCCCCGCGAGCCATTCTGAGGTGGATTTTTAAATTTTTTTTTTTGCCTTTTTCAGATCTCCTCCACGCCATGAGCGAAAATCACAAACCATAAAAAGTCTGGGAAAACCCTCCTGCCATCCTGAGATGGATTTTTGTTTTGTTCTTCAGATCTCCTCCACGTGGTGACCAAAAATCACAAACCCTAAAAACGCCGAGTCCGGGAAAACCGCTCCCCCCGAGGCGGATTTTTCCAATTTTTTTTTTTGCTTTTTTCAGATCTCCTCCATGCCGTGAGTGAAAATCACAAACCCTAAAAACGCCAAGTCTGGAAAACCACCCTCTGCCATCCCGAGGTGGATTTTTTTGCTGTTCTTGAGATCTTCACGCCATGAGCAAAAATCACAAACCCTAAAAAACGCCGAATCTGGGAAAACCGCTCCCCCCGAGGTGGATTTTTTCAATTTTTTTTTTTGCTTTTTTCAGATCTCCTCCACGCCATGAGCGAAAATCACAAACCATAAAAACGTCTGGGAAAACCATCCTGAGATGGATTTTTGTTTTGTTCTTCAGATCTCCTCCATGTGGTGAGCAAAAATCACAAACCCTAAAAAACGCCGAGTCCGGTAAAACCGCTCCCACCGAGGCGGATTTTTCCAATTTTTTTTTTTGCTTTTTTCAGATCTCCTCCATGCCGTGAGTGAAAATCACAAACCCTAAAAACGCCAAGTCTGGAAAACCACCCTCTGCCATCCCGAGGTGGATTTTTTTGCTGTTCTTGAGATCTTCACGCCATGAGCAAAAATCACAAACCCTAAAAAACGCCGAATCTGGGAAAACCGCTCCCCCCGAGGCGGATTTTTTCAATTTTCTTTTTGCTTTTTTCAGATCTCCTCCACGCCATGAGCGAAAAATCACAAACCATAAAAAGTCTGGGAAAACCCTCCTGCCATCCTGAGATGGATTTTTGTTTTGTTCTTCAGATCTCCTCCATGTGGTGAGCAAAAATCACAAACCCTAAAAAACGCCGAGTCCGGGAAAACCGCTCCCCCCGAGGCGGATTTTTTCCATTTTTTTTTGCTTTTTTCAGATCTCCTCCACTCCGTGAGCGAAAATCATGACGAGCCCCGGCTCCAGCACCATGTCCTCGCCCATGTGCTGGTTCTCGCAGGCCATCACCACCACGGCCTGCTTGCCGGGGATGCGTTTGGCCACGTAGTTCTCGTAGTAGCGGCGGTTCATCTGGCGCGTCTCCAGCGTGGCCAGGCCCTGGGGCCAGTTGCGCTCGTGGGCGTTCTCGATCAGCTCGTTGGTGATGGACGCCGGGCAGCCGCTCTCCACCAGCGAGCGTTTGATCACCGCCTGCAGCACCGCGTCCGGCGTGGAGATCATCCCGCCCCAGCGCGTCACCCGCGCCGGCTGCAGCGAGTTCACCCACCTGGGGGGATGGAGGGGTCAGGGATGGGGGTTTGGGGGTGGGATCGTGAAATTGGGGGGGTCCAGACAGCTGGAGACACTCAGAGGGGTCAGGGATGGGGGTTTGGGGTGGGGTTGTGAAATTGGGGGGGTTCACCCACCTGGATTGGGGATGGAGGGGTCAGGGATGGGGGTTTGGGGTGAAATCGTGGAATTGTGGGGGTTCACCCACCTGGAGGGGGATGGAAGGGTCAGGGATGGGGGTTTGGGGGTGAAAGAATGGAAATGTGGGGGTTCACCCACCTGGATTGGGGATGGAGGGGTCAGGGATGGGGGTCTGGGGGTGGGATTGTGAAATTGGGGGGGTTCAGCCGGCTGGAGACACTCAGAGGGGTCAGGGATGGGGGTTTGGGGTGAAAGAATGGAAATGTGGGGGTTCACCCACCTGGGGGGATGGAGGGGTCAGGGATGGGGGTTTGGGGGTGAAATCGTGGGATTGTGGGGGTTCAGCCAGCTGGAGTGGGATGGAGGGGTCAGGGATGGGGGTTTTCGGTGGGGTTGTGGGGGTTCAGCCAGCTGGAGGGGGATGGAGGGGTCAGGGATGGGGGTTTGGGGTTAAAATAATGGAATTGTGGGGGTTCACCCACCTGGATTGGGGATGGAGGGGTCAGGGATGGGGGTTTGGGGGTGAAATAATGGAAATGTGGGGGTTCACCCACCTGGAGGGGGATGGAGGGGTCAGGGATGGGGGTTTGGGGGTGGGATTGTGAAATTGGGGGGGTTCACCCAGCTGGAGGGGGGATGGAAGGGTCAGGGATGGGGGTTTGGGGGTGGGATTGTGAAATTGGGGGGATTCACCCAGCTGGAGACACTCAGAGGGGTCAGGGATGGGGGTCTGGGGGTGAAATAATGGAAATGTGGGGGTTCACCCAGCTGGAGGGGGATGGAGGGGTCAGGGATGGGGGTTTGGGGGTGGGATTGTGGAATTGGGGGGGTTCACCCACAATTTCCCTCAAAAAAATGATGAATTTCCCTCAAAAAATGATGAATTTCCCTCAGAAAATGACCGATTTCCCTCAGAAAATGAGGAATTTCCCTCAAAAAATGATGAATTTCCCTCAGAAAATGACCGATTTCCCTCAGAAAATGACAGATTTCCCTCAAAAAATGATGAATTTCCCTCAAAAAATGATGAATTTCCCTCAAAAAATGATGAATTTCCCTCAGAAAATGACATATTTCCCTCAAAAAACGATAAATTTCCCTCAAAAAATGATGAATTTCCCTCAGAAAATGACCGATTTCCCTCAGGAAATGATGAATTTCCCTCAGAAAACGACGAATTTCCCTGAAAAATGATGAATTTCCCTCACAAAGCCCCCGAATCCCTCGCACTCACTCCAGGATCTCGTTGTACTCGATGGTCTCCTCCAGGTTCAGCAGGTTGGGGCTGACGCTGCGGATCGCCCTCATGTACGCCTTGAGCAGCTGGATGTCCCTCTTCTGCCAAGGCAGGGAAAAATGGCATTGAAAATGGAAATAAAAGCATTTTCCCCCCTTTTTTTGGGGGGGATTTTGGTGTCCAAGCACCAAAACCCGACCCACAGAGCCACACTCAGCCCACACCTTCCCCTCAGCACATTTTTTCCTGTTTTTTTGGGATTTCTTTGAATTTTTTGGGGTATTTTAGGATTTCTGGAGTCCCCAGTGTGGCCCAGGCCAATCCCACAGAGCCACACTCAGCCCAGACCTTCCCCTCCACACATTTTTACCCCCTTTTTTATGATTTCTTTGGGATTTTGAGCTTTCTGGAGCCGCCGGTGTAGCCCAGCCCAATCCCACAGAGTCACACTCAGCCCAGTCACTTTTCCCCTATTTTTTTTTGGGATTTCAGTGCCCAGCACCCCAAAGCTGCCCCTGCAGCCCAAGCCTGGTGCTCCTGGCCCACCTGCTCGGCCAGCTGGTGCTTGTGCTCGGCCGAGGTTTTCTCCAGCTCGGCGATCCTCGTCTGCTGCTGCTGCACCACCGAGCGCAGGTGCTTGATGCAGTTGTGGTTGGGCAGCTCGTCCTTGGGCATCTCCAACCTGCCAGGAGCAGAAAATCAAAGGTGGAGACACCAAATGAGGGGAATTTACACCTTGCAGAGCTGATCCAGGCGTGGGAAGCCAGGTTCTGAGTGCCAGGCTGGGGGAGGATTCGGGGAATAAATGGAGATTTTTCTCCTTTGCCGCCTTCCCGGGCAGCTCCAAAGCCTGACAGCTCTTTCCAGGAGGAAATTGCTGCTGATGTCCAATCTGAACCTCTCCTGGAGGTGCCCCATCCCAGGGCCCTTCCTGTGTCCATCCCCATGCCTGTGTCCATCCCAGGGCAGCCCCAGTGCCCATCCCAGTGCCATCCTGTGTCCATCTCCATCCCATGTCCATCCCCATCCCATATCCATGTCCATCCCAGTTCCATCCTGTGTCCATCTCCATCCCATGTCCATCCCCATCCCATATCCATGTCCATCCCAGTGCCATCCTTTGTCCATCTCCATCCCATGTCCATCCCCATCCCATATCCATGTCCATCCCCATCCCATATCCATGTCCATCCCAGTGCCATCCTGTGTCCATTTCCATCCCATCCCATCCCATCCCATGTCCATCTCCATCCCATATCCATATCCATCCCAGTGCCATCCTGTGTCCATCTCCATCCCATGTCCATCCCCATCCCATATCCATGTCCATCCCAGTGCCATCCCATGTCCATCCCCATCCCATATCCATGTCCATCCCAGTGCCATCCTGTGTCCATTTCCATCCCATCCCATCCCATCCCATCCCATCCCATCCCATGTCCATCTCCATCCCATGTCCATCCCCCTCCTGTGTCCATCCCAGGGCCATTCCTGTGTCCATTTTACGGCCATCCCATGTCCATCCCCATCCTGTGTCCATCCCCATCCCCTGTCCATCCCATCCCACCCCCATCCCCATCCCCTGTCCATCCCATATCCACCCCCATCCCCTGTCCATCCCCTGTCCACCCCCATCCTGTGTCCATCCCCATCCCCTGTCCATCCCACATCCATCCCCATCCCACGTCCATCCCCATGTCCATCCCCATGTCCATGTCCATCCCCATCCTACGTCCATCCCCATATCCATCCCCATCCCACATCCACCCCCATCCCTGTCCATCCCGTGTCCATCCCCTGTCCACCCCCACCCCACGTCCATCCCCATGTCCATCCCCATCCCATGTCCATCCCCATGTCCATGTCCAAGTCCATGTGCATCCTGTGTCCATCCCCATCCCACGTCCATCCTCATCTCATACTCATCCCCTGTCCATCCCCACCCCATCCCATCCCACCCCGCCCCGTGCCCGCCCCGTGCCCGCCCTCACCCGCATCCCTGCTCGCAGGTGACGGGGCGCTTGGGGTTGTGCTCGCAGTCGTTGAGGTGGGCCATGAGGTTGTCGAGGCGCACGACGGCGGTGCAGCCGAAGACGGCGTTGTCGCAGGTGATCTGCAGCTTGGAGAGCATGTTCCGCATGATCCGCGGCACCGGGCGCAGGTGGGCCACCGTCACCACGCTGCGGTCCACGGGACACGTCTGCTGCTGCGAGAACCACTGCGTGATGCAGGCGTTGCAGAAGGCGTGCTCGCAGTGCGGCGCCTGCGGGGAACGACGCGGTCACGCGTGGGGCGCGGGGGGGAGACCGCCCGGGGCATCGAGGATGGGGGGCAGAGACCGCCCGGGGCATCGAGGATGGGGGGCAGAGACCGCCCGGGGCATCGAGGTGGGATGGAGAAACCTCCCGGGGCATCGAGGCTGGGGGGGAGAAACCTCCCGGGGCACCGAGGTGGGATGGAGAGACCTCCCGGGGCATCGAGGATGGGGTGGGGAGCTCCGAGTGCCACCTCGGCTCCTTCAGTCATGGGATTGATCATGGGATTGATCATGGGATCAATCAATCCTGATCCCCAGGAGAGCCCCGAGTGCCACCTCAGCTCCTTCAGTCATGGGATCAATGATGGGATCGATCATCGAATGGTTGGGATTGGGGAGACCTCCCGGGGCATCGAGGCTGGGGGGGAGAGCCCCGAGTGCCGCCTCGGCTCCTTCAGCCATGGGATCAATCATGGGATTGATCATGGGATCAATCATGGGATTGATCGTGGGATCAGTCATGGGATTGATCATGGGATCAATCAATCCTGATCCCCAGGAGAGCCCCGAGTGCCACCTCAGCTTCTTCAGTCAATTGTGGGATCAATCATGGGATCAATCATGGGATCAATCACAGGATCGATCAATCCTGATCCCCAGGAGAGCCCCGAGTGCCACCTCAGCTCCTTCAGTCAATTGTGGGATCAATCATGGGATCAATCATGGGATCAATCATGGGATCAATCAATCCTGATCCCCAGGAGAGCCCCGAGTGCCACCTTGGCTCCTTCAGTCATGGGATTGATCATGGGATCGATTGTGGGATCACCCACAGGAACCATTCATGGGATTGATCAGAGCCCCGAGTGCCACCGCCGCTCCTTTCCCAGGACGGGGGTCCCTCACCTGTGCTGTCCCCTCACCTGTGCTGTCCCCTCCCCTGTGCTGACCCCTCTACCTGTGACCCCTCACCTGTGCTGTCCCCTCCCCTGTGCCCCCTCCCCTGTGACCCCTCACCTGTGTCCCCTGCCCTGTGACCCCAGCCCCCCTCCCCAGCCCCACCCCGCCCAGGTGTGCCGTACCTGCACCGGCTCCTCCAGGACGCCGCTGCAGATGGGGCAGATCAGGTCCTCGTCCACGTCCCCCTGGAACCGCGTCACATCGTACCCCATCGCTGTCACCGGCACCGCGACCCTGCGGGGGCACCAGAGGGCACCGGGAGTGTTCGGCAGTGGGCACCGGGAGGGCCACGAGGGCACTGGGAGGGCACCAGGAGCGCCAGGAGTGCCAGGAGGGCACAGCAGTGGGCACCGGGAGCACCGGGAGGGCACCGGGACTGCCGGGAGTGCACCGGGAGGGTTCGGCAGTGGGCACTGGGAGCGTCGGGAGGGCACTGGGAGCACCAGGAGGGCACTGGGAGGGCACCGGGAGCACCGGGAACGTCGGGAGGGCACCAGGAGTGCCAGAAGGGCACCGCAAGCGCCACGAGGGCACCAGGAGGGCACCGGGAGGACACAGCAGTGGGCACCGGGAGTGCCGGGAGGGCACCGGGAGTGCCGGGAGTGTCGGGAGGGTTTGGCAGTGAGCACCGGGAGCGCCAAGAGGGCACCAGGAGGGCACTGGGAGGGCACCGGGAGTGCCAAGAGGGCACCGAGAGGGCACCGGGAGCGCCGCGAGGGCACCAGGAGTGCCAGGAGGGTTCGGCAGTGGGCACTGGGAGCGTCGGGAGGGCACTGGGAGGGCACCGGGAGGGCACTGGGAGTATCGGGAGAACACCAGGAGCACCAGGAGGGCACGGCACTGGGCACCAGGAGCTCCAGGAGGGCACCGGGAGCGCCGGGAGGGCACCGGGAGTGCCAGGAGTGCCAGGAGGGCAGCGGGAGCGCTGGGAGGGCACGGTAACGGGCACCGGGAGTGCCAGGAGGGCACGGCAGCAGGCTCGGGGGCAGAGCCGCCCCTCAGGAAGCTGCCGTGGGTCTGGGATGGGGGAATTGGGGTCCTTTTGGGGGGAATTTGGGATTTCCCAGAGCCCCTCCAGCCCCTGGGGCTGGGATCTGCCTCGCTCAGCCCACACCTCCCCCTCAGCACCTTTTCTCCTGCTTTTTTGGGATTTCTTCGGGATTTTTTGGGATTTTTGGGATTTCTGGAGTCCCCAGCATGGCCCAGCCAAACCCCGCAGAGCCACGCTCAGCCCAGACCTTCTCCTCAGCACATTTTTTCCCCTTTTTTTATGATTTCTTTGGGATTTCTTTTGGTTTTTGAGATTTTTTTTTTTATTTCTTGGGATTTTGGGATTTCTGGAGTTCCCAGTGTGGCCCAACCCAATCCCACAGAGCCACACTCAGCCCAGACCTTCCCCTCCATACATTTTTTCCTGGTTTTTTGGGATTTTTCAGGATTTTTTGGGATTTCTGGAGGCCCCAGTGTGGCCCAACCAACCCCTGCAGAGCCACACCTTCCCCTCAGCACTTTTTTTTCCAATTTTTTGGGATTTCTTTGGGATTTTTGGGATTTCTGGAGCCCAACCCCATCCCACAGAGCCACACTCAGCCCAGACCTTCCCCTCCACACATTTTTTCCCCTTTTTAAATGATTTCTTTGGGATTTCTTTGGGATTTTTTGGGTTTCTGGAGCCCCCAGCGTGGCCCCAGGGAGGGACTCTGTCCCCAGCTCCAGGTGCCGGATCCTTTATTCCCAAGAAAAACAAAAAACTTGGGAAAATCTTTGATAAGAGCCAACAGCTGCGGGGTCAGGGCCGATCCCACAGCCTGGAACGGCCCCAAATCCCTCCCCAAAAATTCCCTGGATTTCAGCTGCTCCCAGAGCTCTGGAAAATTCCCTGGATTCCAGGCTCATCCCAAAATTCTGGGATCACACCAGGATCATCCCGAAATTCTGCTTTTCTTTAACCTTTCACTTCTGAGCTTCCCAATCCCAACCAAATCCCAAATTCCATCCAAATTCCAACTACTTTTTAACCAAATTCCACCCGAATTCCCAGCTCTTCACCAACTTCCCCGGGAATTTCTGGGAATTCCCAGCTCTTCTCCAATTTTCCTCCAAGGATTGGAAGAATTCCCATGGAAAAAGGAAGGATTGGATGAATTCCCAAAAAAGGAAAAAGAAAGGAGGGAAAAAGGGGAAAAGGGAAAAAGGGAAAGATTGGAGGAATTCCCAAAAAAAAGAAAAAGGAAAGGATGGAAAAAGGATAAGGAAAAAGGAAGGACTGAAGGAATTCCCATGGAAAAAGGAAGGATTGGAGGAATTTCCATGGAAAAGGGAAGGATTGGAGCAATTTCCATGGAAAAAGGAGGGATTGAAGGAATTCCCATGGAAAAAGGATTGAAGGAATTTCCATGGAAAAATTGAAGGAATTCCCATGGAAAAAGGACTGAAGGAATTCCCATGGAAAAACTGAAGGACTGAAGGAATTGCCATGGAAAAACTGAAGGAATTTCCATGGAAAAAGGAAGGATTGGAGGAATTCCCATGGAAAAATGGAAGGAATTCCATGGAAAAGGCAGCTGGATTTACCTCCCGTGGCAGAATTCCTCCTGGGACGCCGCAGGGCTGGGCTGGCCTCACTCTCTGCTGGGAATTTCTCCCAAAATTCTCCCATTTTTCCCTCTCCTCTCCCACAGGGCGGCGCCGCGAGGTCCTGCAGGACGGATCTGATCCCAAAAAAGAGAAAAAATCGGGAAAAATCAGACAGGGAAGGTCCTTTGGGGTTTTGTCCAAAATTTCTCTGGAGTCTCCCCCAAATTTCTCCATATTCTCCCCAAATTTTTCTGGATTTCCCCCAAAATGTCTCTTGATTTCTCCCCAAATTTCTCCTTATTCTCCCCAAATTCTTTTTTGATTTCTCCCCAATTTATTTTGGATTTTTCCCCAAATTCCTCTGGATTTCCCCCAAAATTTTTCTGGAGTCTTCCCCACATTCTTTTGGATTTTCCCCAGAATTGTTTTGGATTTTCCCCAAATTACCTCTGAATTTTCCCTCAAATTCCTCCTGATTTTTCCCAAAATGTCTCTGGAGCCTTCCCCAAATTCTCTTGGATTGTTCCCTAAAATTTCTCTGGATTTCTCCACGAATTTCTCAGGATTTTCCCCAAATTCTTTTGGATTTTCCCCAAAAACACCTCTGGATTTTCCTCATATTCATTTGAATTTCCTCCCAAATTTTCTCTGGATTTCCTCCCAAAATTTCTCTGGATTTCTCCCCAAATTCCTCTGGATTGTTCCCCAAATTATTTCGGATTTTCCCAAAAATACCTCTGGACTTCCCCCCCAAAATTTCTCTGGATTTTCACTCAAATTCCTCCAATTTTCCCCAAAATTTCTCGGGATTTCCCCCCCTCCCCCAATTTCTCTGGATTTTCCCGAACATTCCTCCAATTTTTCCCCAAATTCCTCTGGAATTTCCCCAAAATTCCTCTGGATTTTCCCCCAAATTATTTTGGATTTCCCCCAAAATTCCTCCGGTTTTTCCCGTTCCATTCCCGGTCCCCGCTACCCCCACCGGGCCCGGGGCTCCTCCTCCCCCCGCGCCCCCCCCGGGGCCCTCCCGGGGCCGTTTCCCCCCCCCCACCCCGCGGCCTCTCCCGGTGCTACCGGGAGCCGCAAACGGCGTCCCGGGGGAGTCTCCGCTGCCGCTCCCACAGCCGCACGTACCGCGGGGGGCGGGCCCGGCCCGCCCGGGGCCTCTCGGTGCCGCTCGGGGCCTCCCGGTGCCGCCCGGGGCTCAGCGGCGGCCGCGGCCTCCTCCCGGTGCCGCCGCCGCCGCGCCGGAAGTGCCGCCCTGGCCGGAAGTGCCGCACCGGAAGTGCCGCTCAGGCCGGAACTCGGTGGTTGAGGCGGAGAAGGCGGCGAGGAGGAGTGGGCGTGGTTTAGCCTCATAGTCCCGCCCTTTCTGCATCTCTATTGGTTGGGGATGCTGCTCGTCAACCGGCTCCCCGCGCGCTGATTGGCTGCGGTGGAGGACTTCCGGGATCGCCCGCGGCGGCGGCGGCGGCGCCGTGCCCGGTGAGCGCGCGGCGGGCGGGGCGAGCGCCCCCTGGCGGCGGGACCGGAGGGAGGGAGTGCGGCCCCGGCCCCGGCCCCGGCCCCGGTCCCGGCCCCGGCTCCGGTCCTGGTTCTGCTCCCGGGCCCGGTTCTGCTCTCGGTCCCGGTCCCGGTCCCGGTTCTGCTCCCGGTCCCGCTCCCGGTGGCCCCGGAGTGTCTCTCGTGGGTAGTCCCGTTCCCGCGGTCCTGTCCCCGGTGTCCCGGCCGTCCCCGCTGTCCGGTAGTCCCGGTGCCCGGCCGTGATGCTCCCGCTGCCCCGGTGCCGGTGCTGCCTCCGCGTTGCCGTTCCCGGTGTCCCAGTCCCGGTGTCCCAGTCCCGGTGTCCCAGTCCCGGTGTACCAGAGCTGGCACCGCCGGTGTCCCCCCGCTCCCCAAAGCCCTCCCTGTCCCCGGTGTCCCCCGGTCCCGGTGTCCCCATGGGTCCCATCCGTGTCCCCAGGGTGCCACTCCGTGTCCCCAAGGTGCCATTTGGTGTCCCCAGGGTGCCATTCCCTGTCCCTGCTGTCCCCAGGGTGCCACTCAGTGTCCCCAAGGTGCCATTTGGTGTCCCCAAGGTGCCATTCCCTGTCCCCACAGTGCCATTCCCTGTCCCTGATGTCCCCAGGGTGCCACTCCGTGTCCCCAAGGTGCCACTTTGATGTCCCATGAGTGCCATTCCCGGTCCCCAGGGTGCCACTCGGTGTCCCCAAGGTGCCACTCTGTGTCCCCAAGGTGCCACTTGGTGTCCCATGGGTGCCATTCCCTGTCCCCAGGGTGCCACTCTGTGTCCCTGCTTTCCCCAGGGTGCCACTCGGTGTCCCCAAGGTGCCATTTGGTGTCCCCAAGGTGCCACTCGGTGTCCCCAAGGTGCCACTCGCTGTCCCCTCGCCATGAGCGCCGAGACGTTGGTCAAGGACGTCAAACCCGGCCTCAAGAACCTCAACCTCATCTTCATCGTGCTGGAGACCGGTCAGTGCCACCCCCGTGTCCCCTGGTGACCCCTGTGTCCCCTGGTGACCCCCGTGTCCCCTGGGTGACCCCTGTGTCCCCTGGGTGACCCCCACGTCCCCGGGTGACCCCGATGTCACTCGCTGTCCCCCAGGCCGGGTGACCAAGACCAAGGACGGCCACGAGGTTCGGACGTGCAAAGTGGCCGACAAGAGCGGCAGCATCAACATCTCCGTGTGGGACGATGTGGGCAACCTCATCCAGCCTGGGGACATCATCCGCCTCACCAAGGGGTACTGGGGACACTGGGGACACCTGGGGACACTTGGGGACACCGCTGTGACCCCCCAACCCTCCTCATCCTCAGCTACGCCTCCGTCTTCAAGGGCTGCCTGACGCTCTACACCGGCCGTGGTGGTGACCTGCAGAAAATCGGCGAGTGAGGAGCAGCCCGGGGGGTTTTTTGGGGTTTTTTGGGGGGTTTTGGGGGGATTTTGGGGTGCCAAGGGGGTGTTGGCATCGGGGCACCCCAAAAAGCCGCGCTGTGCCCGCAGGTTCTGCATGGTTTACTCCGAGGTGCCCAACTTCAGCGAGCCCAACCCCGAGTACGTGGCACAGCAGGCGCAGGGCAAAGGGGTGAGTGTGGGGGGCACGGGGGGAACCCACAAATTACCCCAAATCTTCATGGATTTGCACCAAATCCCCACGAATTTACCTCAAATCCCCACAAATTTACCCCAAATCCCCACAAATTTACCCCAAATCCCCACAAATTTACCCCAAATCCCCACAAATTACCCCAAATCTTCATGGATTTGCACCAAATCCCCACGAATTTACCTCAAATCCCCACAAATTTACCCCAAATCCCCACAAATTTACCCCAAATCCCCACAAATTTACCCCAAATCCCCACAAATTACCCCAAATCTTCATGGATTTGCACCAAATCCCCACGAATTTACCTCAAATCCCCACAAATTCACCTCAAATCCCCACAAATTTACCCCAAATCCCCACAAATTACCCCAAATCTTCATGGATTTGCACCAAATCCCCACGAATTCACCTCAAATCCCCACAAATTTACCCTAAATCCCCAGAAATTTACCTCAATCCTCATGCATTTGAACCAAATCCCCATGAATTTACCCCAAATCCCCACAAATTTACCTCAATCCTCATGAATTTGCACCAAATCCCCACAAATTTACCCCAAATCCCCATAAATTTGCACCAAATTTGCACAAATTTACCCTAAATCCCCACAAATTTGCCCCAATCCTCATGAATTTGCACCAAATCCCCACAAATTTACCCCAAATCCCTAAAAATTACCCCAAATCCTCATTAATTTACCCCAATCCTCATGAATTTGCACCAAATCCCCACAAATTTACCCCAAATCCCTAAAAATTACCCCAAATCCTCATTAATTTACCCCAATCCTCATGAATTTGCACCAAATCCCTACAAATTTACCCCAAATCCCCATAAATTTGCACCAAATTTGCACAAATTTACCCTAAGTCCTCCCAAATTTGCCCTGAATCCCCTCAAATTCCCCCTAAACCCCCCAAATTCTCCCCAAATCCTCCCAACCCCCCCCAAATTCTCCCCAGATCCCCTAAACCCCCCAAAATTCCACCCAAATTCCCCCAAATTCCCCCCAAATCCTCCCAAACCCCCCCAAATTCCCCTCAGACCCCCCAAACCCCCCAAATTCCCCCCAAATCCCCCAAAATTCTCCCCAAATTCCCCCCAGATCCCCCAAAATTCTCCCCAAATTCCCCCTAAACCCCCCAAAATTCCACCCAAATTCCCCCAATTTCCCCCCAAATCCTCCCAAACCCCCCCAAATTCCCCCCAGATCCCCTAAACACCCCAAAATTCCCCCCAAATCCCCCAAAATTCCCCCCAAATTCCCCCTAAACCCCCCAAAATTCCACCCAAATTCCCCCAAATTCCCCCCAAATCCTCCCAACCCCCCCCAAATTCCCCTCAGACCCCCCAAACCCCCCCAAAACCCCCCAAAACCCTCTCGGTGACACTCGGGGGTCTCCATCCCCTCCCAGGCCCCTCCCGAGAGTTCGGCCCCGGCAGCTCCGCAGCCCCCCCCGGGCCCCCCCGCCGCCTCCCCAGGTCGGTACCGCCCCCCGAACCCCCCCGGTAACCCCCGGTACCCCCCCCCGGCCCCCCCTCACCTGCCGGTTCCCCGCAGCCCCCGAGAGCCAGAACGGGAACGGGCTGAGCCCGGGGGTCCCCCCCGCGCACCCCCCGAGCGGCCGCATCACCCGCAGCCAGCCCGGCCCGGTCAGCAACGGCAAAGAGACGCGGCGGAGCGGCAAGAGATAACGGGGACCCCCCCGGTACCGCCCCGGAAACCCCCGGGGCCACCCCGGTACCGCCACCGACCGGGGGGGTCCCGGTTCCCCGAGCCCGCAGCGGGGAGGGGGTACCCGGTGTCCTCCCCGCCCCACCGGGGCTGCGGCCCCCCGGCTGCGGAACCCCCCCGGTACCTCCCGGTGTCCCCCCCGGTCCTGCCATCAACCGGGAGGGGTCCCGGTTCACCGATCCCGCAGCAGGGAGGGGGTGCCCGGTGTCCTCCCCACCCCACCGGGGCTGGCCCGGACCCCCCCTCCGGTGCTCGGGGGTCCCGGGGGGCACCCCCCGCGCACCCCCCGGCCGCGGAACCCCCCCAGAATCCCACCGGAGCCCCCCCGGTACTGCCACCGACTGGGGGGGGTTCCCGGATCCCCGATCCCGCAGCGGGGAGGGGGTGCCCGGTGTCCTCCGCACCCCACCGGGGCTGGGGCCCCCCGGCTGCGGAACCCCCCCGGTACCTCCCGGTACCTCCCGGTGCCCCCCGGTACCTCCCGGAATCCCCCCCGGTACCGCCATCAACCGGGGGGGTTCCCGGTTCCCCGATCCCGCAGCGGGAAGGGGGTGCCCGGTGTCCTCCCCACCCCACCGGGGCTGGCCCGGAGTCCCCCTCCGGTGCTCGGGGGTCCCGGGGGGGTCCCGCCGGTGCCCCCCGCCCCCGGTGTCGGTGGGGAGGGGTTAATAAAGACCTGAGCTCTGCCCCCGCCTCAGCCGCTCTGCCCGGACCCTCCCCGCGGCCCCTCCCGGTTACCGGGGCCGGCCGGGAGCAGCTCCGGGGTGACCCTTGGCCCCCCCGGTTCGGGCGCGACGGGCGCGGGACGGGCGCGGGGACAGCGCGGGGACGAGTCCCCGTGGGCTCAGGTGGGCGCGGGTGGGCACGGGAGGGGTCCCGGTGGGCGCGGGAGGGGTCCGGGAGGGCGCGGGAGGGGTCCCGGTGGGCACGGGAGGGGTCCCGGTGGGCGCGGGCGGTGCCAGCGCCGCCCCCACGGTGGTCCCGCGGTTGGGTGGGGGGTGGGGGGGGTTAACCGGGCGCACCTGGGGGGGTCTCCGGTGGGGTTGGGGACACGCGTGGGGCACCCGCGTGGCACCCGGGGTGGCAGCGCGGCGGCGGCGGCTCCCGCGGTCTCCCGGTGCCGCGGCGTGGCGTGGCCGGGCCCCACGTGGAACGGGGCGCGGGGGGGGTGCGGGCAGCCCGGTGGGGTGCGGGGCCGTCCCGCGTTCCCCGCCGGTACCGGGGGGCGGCGTGGGGGGCTGGGGGGGGTTCCCGGGGGTTTTATCGCCCTCCCGGTAAAACATTAACCCCCCGGTTGCAAAACCTCGCCCCAAGGACGAGGGGCACCCGCCGTGCTCCCGGTGACCCCCCCCCAACTCTCGCCACCCCCCGGTTTGGGGGGCACGGCGGCCGTGTCCCCCTCCCCCCCCCGCCGGTGTCCCCGAGCCCCGGAGCGCCGCACGTGGCCCGGGAGGTGACCCCGGTACCGGCTGGAGCTTTCCCACGGGCGGGGAACGGCGGGGGGACCCTCCGCGACCGGGGGGGGGACCCTCCCCAGCCTCGGGGGACCCTCCCCAAAGTGGGGTGACCCTCCCCAACCTCGGGGTGACCCTCCCCACATCGGGGAGACCCTCCCCAGCCTCGGGTGACCCTCCCCAACCTCGGGGGACCCTCCCCACAGTGGGGTGACCCTCTCCAACCTCGGGGGACCCTCCCCAGCCTCGGGGGACCCTCCCCACCCTCGGGGTGACCCTCCCCAGATCGGGGGACCCTTCCCACCCTCGGGGGACCCTTCCCACATCGGGGTGACCCCAAAGTGGGGTGACCCTCCCCACATCGGGGTGACCCTCCCCACCCTCGGGGGACCCTCCCCAAAGTGGGGTGACCCTCCCCACCCTCGGGGGACCCTCCTCAATCTCGGGGGACCCTCCCCAACCTCGGGTGACCCTTCCCAACCTCGGGTGCCCCTCCCCACATCGGGGACCCTCCCCACCCTCGGGGTGACCCTCCCCAAAGTGGAGTGACTCTCCCCACCCTCGGGAGACCCTCCCCACATCGGGGTGCCCCTCCCCACCTCGGGCTGACCCCGACCCCGCCGTCCCTCAGCCGCCGCCGCGGACCGGCCCCATGAGCCGCCGGTGTTTCCTCGCGGCCGTTGCGGCGCTGCTGCTGCTGGGGGCACCCCGGGGTGCCGCGGGGGTCCCGGGGCGGCTCCCGGAGGACGCGGAGCAGGAGCACGGCTATTACCTGCGGCAGCTCTTCGGGCAGTACGGGCACAACGGGACGCTGCCCTTCGAGGGGCTGGCACGGCTGCTGGGCAGCCTGGGGCTGGGCACGGTGCGGGTGGTGCAGATCCAGCACGAGGAGCTGGGCCACGGCCACGCCGCCCACCTGGACCTGCTGGAGGTGCAGGAGGACAAGCACCGCCACCGGCACCCGCTGCGGGAGCACGGCGGGGCCGCGGCACCGGGCACCGGAGCGCCCCTCAGGTACCCGCCCCGTTCCTTCCCCGTGGGGCCGCGGCGGTTCGGGCTGTGCCGGTGGGGATGGGCTCACCCCACACACCCCCTCCCCATTTCCCGCAGCCCCCCGCCCTCCCGACCGCCCAGCTGGCACCACCCGGTGCCCACCGAGCCCCCCGGGGCCGCGGGGGTGCCCCGGCAGTACCGGCCCGGTCTCAGCCTGCTGGGCAGGGTGTTGGGCTTGGAGCACTCCAGCACCGACCACCCGCACGACGATGTGAGTGGGGACGGGGGGTCGCGCCGTGCCGCGCTCCGGGAGCACCGGGGCAGCACCGGGGCAGCACCGGGGCAGCACCGGGATCCCCGGCACCGCTCAGCGCGATCCCCGGCCCGCAGTGCCTGAACGGGACCCAACTGCTGCTGAATTTCGGGCTGGACTCGGCGGCGCAGCTGACACCGGAGCAGTTCTCGCTGCTGTGCCCGGCGCTGCTCTACCAGATCGACAGCCGCGTCTGCATCCAGCACCGCGATGAGGCGACACTGCCACCCCCGGGGGGGACCCTCTGGCCAGGTAACCCCAACCCCGCGGCCCCTCGCTGCTCCCCGGCCCCACATCCCTCCTCCCGGGGCTCCCCGAGCTGCTCCCGGGGTCCCCCTCCCCAGGGGTGCCCGTGTCCCGGCCCGGGGCCCCGTCCCCGTTATGGTGTGGGGGATTCCGTCCCTGCATCCCCCAGGCCCCCCTGCACTCCTCACCCCCGTCCCTGAGCCGTGCCCCCCACCCCGGCCTCCCACTCCTGATCCTGGGGTCTCCATTCTTGGGGTTCCCCTCCCTACATCCCTGGGGTCCCCACCCCTGGGGTCTCCATTTCCACAGCCTGGGGGTCTCCATCCGTAAATCCCCAGGATTCCCATCCCTGGGACCCCCATTTCCACATCCCTGAGTTCCCCATCCCTGGGTCCCCATCCCTGATTTCCCCACCCCTGAGGTCTCAATCCCTGAATTCCCCATCCCTGAATTCCCCATCCCTGATTTCCACATCCCTGGGTCCCCGTCCCCAATTCCCCATCCCCAGGTCCCCATCCCTGATTTCCCCATCCCTGAATTCCCCATCCCTGATTTCCCCACCCCTGGGGTCTCAATCCCTGAATTCCCCATCCCTGATTTCCCCATCCCCATTCCCCATCCCCAATTCCCCATCCCCATTTCCCCACTCCCCCATTCCCCCTCCCCACCCCCCTACTGGAGGTTCCCCGTTCCCGGTACCGGGGGGTGCCTGACGCCGCCGGCAGCGCTGGGCTGGGCGCTGCTGCCCGTTCCCGGTACCGGGGGGTGCCTGACGCCGCCGGCAGCGCTGGGCTGGGCGCTGCTGGCCGTGCTCTCGGTCAGCCTCCCGTCGGTGCTGGCGGTGCCGCTGCTCCCGCCGCGGGCCCGGGGCTCCCGCCGCTCGGTGTTCGCCTTCCTGGTGCCGTTGGCCGCGGGGACGCTCTGCGGGGACGCGCTGCTGCACCTCTGGCCGCACGTAGGTACCGCCGCGGCGGCGGCACCGGGGGGACACCGACCGCCGCGGTGCCGGTGCTGCCCTGAGCCGCCGCCGCCTCTCCGGTGTGCAGGCGAACGGGAGTCACCCGGAGGCACCGGGGGAGCCGAGCCCCGCCGTGCTGCAGGGGCTGGCGGTGCTGGCGGGCGTTTACCTGCTCTTCGTGCTCGAGCTGCTCCTCGGGGTGCTGCGGCACCGGCGGGAGGCCACGGTGAGAGCGAGACCGGGCACCGGGCGGGCACGGAGCCGCCACCGGGGCCGGCTCTGCACACACCGAATCCGTTGTCACCAGGGACGCCCCCACGGAGAGACCCCCGGTATAGCCGCGGGGGTCCCGGCGCCGTCACGGGCAGGTACGACCCCCTCGCATCCCCCGGCAGAGCCCCCGGTACCGGCAGACACCGGAGGGACCCGGCGTGTCCGTCCCGCCGCAGGCACCGAGCTGCGGCACCTGACGGCGCCGGAACCGGAGCTGGAGCCGGGACCCCCCGAGCCCCACCGGGAGCCCCACCGGGAGCCGCCCCCGGGAGCCTCTCACGGACACTCCCACGGACACTCCCACGGACACTCGCACGGCCCCGGGCCCGGTGCCGCTGACATCGCGTGGATGGTGGTGCTGGGAGACGGTGTCCACAACCTGACCGACGGGCTGGCCATCGGTGGGACCGGGAACGGGAACAGGGCGGGACAGGGCGGGAACGGGGATGGGGACGGGAACGGGAACGGCAAAGGGAACGGGAACGGGCGGGACGGGGCGGGGACGGGAACGGGAACGGCAAAGGGAACGGGACGGGGCGGGAAGGGGGCGGGAACGGGGATGGGAACGGGGATGGGACGGGAACGGGACGGGAACGGGAACGGGGATGGAACGGGGTGGGAACGGGAATGGGAACGGGGATGGGGACGGGGACGGGGACGGGGACGGGGATGGGACGGGACGGGAACGGGGCGGGAACGGCAAAGGGAACGGGAACGGGGCGGGAACGGGAATGGGAATGGCAAAGGGAACGGGAACGGGGCGGGAACGGGAATGGGAATGGCAAAGGGAACGGGAACGGGGCGGGGCGGGAACGGGAATGGGAACGGCAAAGGGAACGGGGACGGGAACGGGGACGGGGATGGGAACGGCAAAGGGAACGGGAATGGGCACGGCAAAGGGAACGGGAACGGGGACAGGGACGGGAATGGGGACGGGGACAGAGACAGAACAGGGGGACAGAGGGACAGGGGACAGGGGGACAGGGGGACAGGGACAGGGGGACAGGGGGACTGAGGGACAGGGGACAAGGGGGAAAGGGGGACAGAGGGACAGGGACAGGGGACAGGGGGACAGGGGGACAGGGGGACAGGGACAGGGGGACAAGGGGACAGGGGGACAGGGGGACTGAGGGACAGGGGGACAGGGACAGGGGGACAAGAGGACAAGGGGACAAGGGGACAGGGGGACAGGGACAGGGGCAGAGCAGCAGCCCCGGGCTGAGGACCCCCCTCCCCTCCCCCCCAGGAGCCGCCTTCTCGCACGGCCTCCCCAGCGGGCTCAGCACCGCCCTGGCCGTGCTCTGCCACGAGCTGCCCCACGAGCTGGGTGAGCCCCCCGTGAGACCCCCGAGCGGGGCACCCCCGATCCCCGTGAGACCCCCGAGCGGGGCACCCCCGAACCCCGTGAGACCCCCGTGAGACCCCCCCAAAAAACCCCCGACCCCCGTGAGACCCCCGAGCCACCCGTGAGACCCCCCCCGGGCACCCCCGAACCCCCGTGAGACCCCCAAACCCCCGTGAGCCCCTCCCTGAGACCCCCGAACCCCTGTGAGACCCCCGAGCTGGGCACCCCCGAACCCCTGTGAGACCCCCAAACCCCCCATGACACCCCCCAGACACCCCCAAACCCCCCATGGCACCCCTGTGACACCCCCCAGACACCCCGGAGCCCCCCAAACCCCCCATGCCACCCCCTGGACAACCCCTGGACATCCTCAGACCCCCCCATGCCACCCCCCGGACACCCCCAAACCCCCCATGAGACCCCCAGAACACCCTCAGAGCCCCCTATGCCACCCCCCGGACCCCCCCAAACCCCCCATGAGACCCCCTGGACACCCCCAAACGCCCCAGACACCCCCAAACCCCCCATGCCACCCCCCAGACACCCCCAAACCCCCCATGGCACCCCTGTGACACCCCCTGGACACCCCCAAGCCCCCATGAGACCCCCAGAACACCCTCAGACACCCCCAAACCCCCCATGGCACCCGCAGGACACCCCCCAGACACCCCGGAACCCCCCAAACCCCCCCTGGCACCCCCCCAACCCCCCCCATGCCCCCCCGGTGCCACCCTTGGGTGCCCGCAGGGGACCTGGCGCTGCTGCTGCGGGCGGGCGCTGCCCCGCGCTCGCTGCTGCTCCTCTCGCTGCTCTCGGCGCTGCTCTCGGCCCTGGGGGCGCTGGCGGGGGTCGCCCTGGGGGGCAGCGGGACCCCCCTCGCCCCCTGGCTCCTCACCGCCACCGCCGGGGTCTTCCTCTACGTGGCCCTGACCGACATGGTGAGGGGGGGGGGGTTTGGGGGTGTCCGGGGGGGGTCCTGGGGGGTTTGGGGGTGTCACAGGGGTGTCATGGGGGGTTTGGGGGTGTCTGGGGGGTGTCACGGGGGGGGTTGGGGGGGTCCGGGGGGTGTCACAGGGGTGTCACGGGGGGTTTGGGGGTGTCATGGGGGGTTTGGGGGTGTCTGGGGGGTCTCATGGGGGTGCTGAGAGGGTCTGGGGGGTCTGGGGGGTTTGGGGGGGTCTGGGGGGTGTCATGGGGGGCTCTGAGGGTGTTCTGGGGGGGGTTTGAGGGTGTCTGGGGGGTGTCATGGGGGGGTTTGGGTGTGTTCTGGGGGTGGCATGGGGGGCTTGGGGGTATCTGGGGGGGTTTGGGGGGTGTCATGGGGGGTCTGGGGGTGTCCAGGGAGTCTCATGAAGGGTTTGGGGGTGTCCCGGGGGGTGTCATGGGGGGTTTGGGGGGTGTCACGGGGGGTTTGGGGGTGTCTAGGGGGGGGTCTCAGAGGGGTTCTGAGAGCTTTGGGGGTGCCCGGGGGGGGGGTGGGGGTGTCACTGGGGGTTTGGGGGTGCCCGTGGGGGTTTGGGGGTGTCACTGGGGGTCTCACGCCCCCCTTTCCCCCCCAGCTCCCCGAGGCGCTGAGGGGCTCGGCCGGGGGCTCCTGGGGCCGCTTCGCGCTGCAGAACTCGGGGTTCCTGCTGGGGGCGGGCACCATGCTGGGCATCGCCCTGGCCGAGGGGCACCTGCGCTCCTGGCTGCGAACCTGAGCCCCCCCCCGGGACCCCCGGGACACCCCCCGGGACCCCCGGGACACCCCCCGGGACCCCCCCGGGACCCCCGCCCGGACCCCCCCCGGGACCCCCCGGACCCCCCCCGGGACCCCCGGGACCCCCGGGACACCCCCCGGGACCCCCGGGACACCCCCCGGACCCCCCCCGGGACCCCCCCCCGGGACCCCCGCCTTGGATATTCCCTCCCCTGTTCTCCAGAATTCCCGGGGGGATCCGCGGTGCCGCCCCCCGGAGGGGATTTGGGGTCCCCTCGTTCCCCCAGGGAGGATTTGGGGTCCCCTCATTCCCCCCCGGGAGGATTTGGGGTCCCCTCGTTCCCGATTTGGGGTCCCCTCGCTGCCCCCCGGGAGGATTTGGGGTCCCTCGTTCCCAATTTGGGGTCCCCTCGTTCCCAATTTGGGGTCCCCTCGCTGCCCCCCGGGATCCCCCTGAGGAGCTCAGGAAGGGGAACAACCCCAAAGCAAAATTGGTTTAATAACCAGAATTGGTTTAATAAAGAACCAAAATTGGTTTAATAAACAAAATTGGTTTAATGACCAGATTTGGTTTAATAAACAAAATTGGTTTAATAAATAACCAAAATTGGTTTAATAACCAGAACTGGTTTAATTAACAAAATTGGTTTAATAAACAAAATTGGTTTAATGACCAGATTTGGTTTAATAACCAGAATTGGTTTAATAAATAACCAAAACTGGTTTAATAACCAGATTTGTTTAATAACCAGATTTGGTTTAATAACCAGAACTGGTTTAATAACCAGAATTGAGCCAGAACCGCAATAAAACCCCGGGATTTGCTCACAGTTACAGGGGGGGGAAATAAATCAACTTTGAACGGTTTTGCCGCGTTTTTTTGGGGGGTTTTCCCTCCTTTTTAAGAATTAAACGAAGCAGAATTTTCGGAAATTCCGACCTGGGACATCGGAGAGAAAATTGGGATTTTTGGGGTTCTCTGGGACCCCTCAAGATTCCGGGACACCTCAAGATTTTGGGACCCCCCAAAAGTTAAATTTTGGGACCCCCCTCAGGGGGTTTTGGGACCCCTCAAGATTTGGGAGCCCTGAAGGTTTTTGGGACCCCCCCCCGGTGCCTTCGGCCTCTCCTCCCTCCTCACTTCGTCCATCCCTGCCCCAGCCCCGAGGGGCAGAACCCCCAAAATCACCCCAAAATCACCCCAAAACCCCCCAAACCACCCCAAAACCCGGCAGAACCCCAAAAATTACCCCAAAACCCCCAAAATCACCCCAAAATCACCCCAAAACCCGTCAGGACCCCCAACATCACCCCAAAACACACACAGAGCCCCAAAATCCCCAAAATCACCCCAAAACCCACACAGAGCTCCAAAACCCGGCAGAACCCCCAAAATTACCCCAAACCCCCAAAATCACCCCAAAACCCGTCAGGACCCCCAAAATCACCCCAAAACACACACAGAGCCCCAAAACCCCCAAAATTACCCCAAAACCCACACAGAGCCCCAAAAGCCCCAAAATCACCCCAAAACCCCCAAAATCACCCCAAAATCACCCCAAAACCCCCCAAATCACCCCAAAACCCGGCAGAAACCCCCAAAATCACCCCAAAATCCCCACAGAGCCCCAAACCCCCCCCAGAGCCCCAAAACCGAATTTTTTTTTTTTTCCATGCGAATTTCCTTTATTTATTTTCAAGTCGACGAGAAGAACAATATCGAGAACGACTGGGTCGAGTAAGGCTATTTTCCTTTTTTTTTTTGTTTTTTTTAGGTTTTTTAGGTTTTTTTTTGGTTTTTTTTAAGTTATTTTTAAAGTGTTTTGATATTTTTTTAACCCTTTCCCACCCCTCCCCTCTGTTTGTCCCCTGCTCGGGACGAGGCCCCGGAGGATTCGGCCGTACCTGCAGGTGATGATGAGGTTTTTATTTTGTATATTTATTATTTTTTTATTTTTTCTGTGTGGTTTTTGTGGGTTTTTTTTGTCCCGTGGGCACCAAAGGAACATTTTTGTGCATAAATACAGAGGTGCAGCATCGACACGGAGAATTCCAGACACAGAATTGCTACAGAGACGCGGCCCCCACCCAACCGCACCCCAAAAATTCCAAAGGTTTTAGGGCAGCCCCGGAGCTCCCCTGGATGCTTTGGGTGAAACTCGGCTTTTTCTTATTGATTTTTAAATTTTTTAAATATATTTTGTGATTTTTCTGGTATTTTTATTTTTAATTTTTAATTTTTTAATTATTTAATTTTTTTTATTTTTAATTTTTATTTTTATATTTTAAATTTTCAAAATTTTTAATTTTTAACTTTTTTTTAACTTTTGACTTTTTAATTTTTAACTTTTAACTCTTAAATTTTAAATTTTTAATGTTTAAATTTTAATTTTTATTTTTTTCAATTTTAATTTTTAATTTTTAACTTTTTAAATTTTAATTTTTAACTTTTTAAAATATTGCTTTTTAACTTTTAACTTTTAACTTTTAAATTTTAATTTTTAATCTTTAATTTTTTAATTTTTCCTTTTAATTTTTAACTTTTCAAAATTTTTAATTTTTAACTTTTTTTCATTTCTACTTCCTAATTTTGAACTTTTAACTTTTTTAAATCTTCAACTTTTTAATTTTTAATGCTTAAATTTTAACTTTTAACTTTTTTAAATTTTTAACTCCTAACTTTTAACTTTTTTTTTCATTTTAACTTTTCATTTTTAATTTTGAACTTTTAATTTTTTAATTTTAAATTCCAAATTTTGCTGCCGAGCCCGGGAAATTCCAGCCAGGAGAAGAGAAAAAGAAAGAAAAGGAGGAAAAAAGGAAAGAAAAGGAGGAAAAAAGGGAGGGAGGGAAGGGAAAAAAAAAAGGAAAAAACCCAAAAATCCGAACCGAGAAATCCCTGTGGGGTTTTATCCTTTGGTTTCTCACTGAAGGCAAAGCTGAGATCCCACCCCGACATCCCACCCGAACATCGGGATAAAATCAAGGAATAATAATAATTATAATAATTAAAAAAGAAATTAAAAAAACATGTTTTTTTCTGTTGTCTCTGCTTTTGTAGGTTTGGGGTTTTTTGGGTTCCCTCGGGGATCTGCACAAAGATCCCCAAAAACGGGATCAAAGCCAGAAGCGATTCCGCGTTTTTGGAGAGTTTTGTGGGTTTTTTAATTTTATTTTTATTTTTGCTTGGTTTTTTAGTGCTGTGGTTTTGTGGGGTTTTGTTTTTTTAATTATTGTTTATTTTTATTTTTATTTTTTGATCTGCCGGATTCCAGCCCCGGGATGTGGCCGGGTGGGGATGGGGCTGCTCCTGGGGAGGGAAAATGGGAAAAAAGTGGGGGAAAATGGGAATAAAAGGTGGGAAAATGGGAAAAAGGGAGGGAAAATGAGGAAAAGGAGAGGGAAAATGGAAAAAGGGAGGGAAAAGGGAAAAAGGGAGGGGAAATGGGGAAAAAAGGTGGGAAAATGGGAAAAAGGGGAGGGAAAATGGGGAAAAAAGTGGGGAAAGGAGGGAAAAAGGGGAAAAATGGGAAAAAAGGGAGGGGAAATGGGAAAAAAGGAGGGAACATGGAAAAAAAAAGGGCGGGACAGGAACGGGACAGGAACGGGACACGGGGACAGGAACGGGACAGGAACGGGACAGGAACGGGACACGGGGACAGGAACGGGACACGGGGACAGGAATGGGACAGGAACGGGACAGGAACGGGACACGGGGACAGGAACGGGACAGGAACGGGACACGGGGACAGGAGGGGACTCGGGACGCACTTCCCGAACTGAAGTTCCCGTGGCCCCGGGGCTGTCCCGGGATGTCCCTGGTTTGTCCTGGTTTGTCCCGGGATGTCCCTGGGCTGTCCCTAGTTGTTCCCAGGCTATTCTGGTTTGTCCCCTGGTTTGTCCTGGGATGTCCCTGGTTGTCCCTGGGCTATACCGGTTTCTCCCGGTCTGTCCCGGTTTATCCCAGTTTACCCCGGTTTATCCCGGTTTATCCCAGTCTGTCCCGGTTTCTCCCGGTCTGTCCCGGTTTATCCCAGTTTATCCCGGTTTATCCCAGTCTATCCCGGTTTATCCTGGTTTATCCCGGTCTATCCCGGTTTATCCCGGTCTGTCCCGGTTTCTCCTGGTTTATCCCGGTTTCTCCCGGTCTATCCCAGTTTATCCCGGTCTGTCCCGGTTTATCCTGGTCCGTCCTGGTCTATCCCGGTCTGTCCCGGTTTATCCCGGTTTCTCCCGGTTTATCCCGGTCTATCCCGGTTTCTCCCGGTTTATCCCGGTCTGTCCCAGTTTGTCCCGGTCTGTCCCGGTTTCTCCCAGTTTGTCCTGGTTTCTCCTGGTCTGTCCCGGTCTGTCCCGGTCTATCCCGGTCTATCCCAGTTTATCCCGGTTTCTCCCGGTCTATCCCAGTTTATCCCGGTTTCTCCCGGTCTATCCCAGTTTATCCCGGTTTATCCCAGTCTGTCCCGGTTTATCCCAGTCTGTCCCGGTCTGTCCCGGTTTATCCCGGTCTGTCCCAGTTTATCCCGGTTTCTCCTGGTCTATCCCGGTTTCTCCTGGTCTGTCCCGGTCTATCCCAGTTTATCCCAGTCTGTCCCGGTCTATCCCGGTTTATCCCGGTCCGTCCCGCTCCGTCCCGGTACATTCAGCGTTTGTCGCGGTTTATGGCTCAGGGGGCGGCGCCGCCCCTCGCTCGGGCAGTGGCAGTGCAAAAACACCTCGGAAATGTCCATTTTTTATTTCTTTCTTTTCTATTTTTTTGTGCTGTCAGTTTTATTTTATTTTTTTTAATTTTTTACTTCTACTTTTTAACCTTTTTTTTAAAATATTTTCATTTTTTTTTTGTTTTTCTTCCTCTCTCTCAACACCACAACTTCCCTTTGTCATTCATTCCCTAGAAACGAACTTTTATTTTTTTTGTTTGTTTTTTTGGGGTTTTTTTTTCCTTTTTTTTGTTATTTTTTCCGCTTTTTTCCTCTCTTTTTCAATTCCAACTGAAAAAATAAAGCCCAAGACACTCTCGCCGCTCTCCATCCCGTGGGATGCTAAAGGGAATTATTCATGCTTTTTTGAACAAAAGTG